TCATTATTCGATACTGTCATGCATGTGCTGATTGATCCTGGATCAACATTATCTTACATCTGTGTACCTATGCCTGACAAAGCTGACATATTGAAAGAAAACTTAGAACACCCTATACTAGGACCGATATCAGCAACTCCCTATCGTGTGGCTCTTGCTAAAATGAAAGAGTTGAAATCCCAACTACAAGAACTGCTTGATAAAGAATTCATTCGATCGAGTGTTTCCCCTTGGGGAGCAACCGTTCTATTTGTAAGAAAGAAGGACGGCTTGATGAGACTCTGCATCGATTACCGTGAATTGAATGAAGTCACAATAAAAAATCGTTATCCTTTACCCCGGATCGATGACTTATTTGATCAGCTTAGAGGATCTACTGTATTCTCTAAGATTGACTTATGGTCAGGATACCATCAAATTCTCAAGAAAGAGGACATCCCAAAGACCGCATTCCGTACTCGTTATGGCCATTACGAATTTACGGTGATGCCCTTTGGTTTGACCAATGCTCCTGCAGTATTCATGGATCTCATGAATAGTGTATTCCAACCTTATCTTGATCAATTCGTGGTTGTATTCATCGACGATATTCTTGTCTATTCGAAGAAACGAGAAGACCATGCGAAACACCTGGAGGTAGTACTCAGTGTACTACGAGAGCACAAACTGTATGCTAAACTGTCAAAATGTGAATTCTGGCTTGATGAAGTAACATTTCCTGGTCATGTAATTTCAAAAGAATGTGTCAAAGTGGACCCCAGAAAAATATCTTCCATCACTGAGTGGAAGGTTCCAAGGAATGTTTGAGAAGTAAGAAGTTTTCTGTGATTAGCTGGATACTATCGACGATTCGTTGAAGGCTTTTCCTCAATCGAAACTCCACTTAACAAACTTCTGAGAAAAGACGTGAAATTTGTGTGGACCGACGCATGCCAACAAAGCTTTGAAAAGCTTAAGAAGTGTCTGACAGAAGCACCTGTACTAACACAACCAGTACTAGGTGTAGACTACACGATCTATAATGACGCATCTCACAACAGCTTGGAATGTGTACTTATGCAAGACGGTAAGGTCGTGGCTTACGCATCAAGGCAGTTGCAACCTCACGAATGTAACTATCCCACTCATGATCTTGAGTTAGCAGTAGTTTTATTTGCTTTGAAAATATGGCGTCATTATCTCTTCGGAGAAACAACATATATTCATACAGGCCATAAAAGTCTAAAATACCTGTTAACTCAGATGGAGTTGAATCTGAGGCAAAGAAGATGGTTGGAACTTATTAAGTATTATGAGTGCTATATGGACTATCACCCTGGTAAGGCTAACGTAGTTGCTAATGCGTTAAGTCGAAAGATGGTACCCGCACTCCGAATCCAACCAACTCTGGAAAACGAAATTCATTCAGCACAAAAGAATGATGATTATTGTTTGAAGACTTGTGAACTTGTCTCTAAGGCGGAGAGACGAGACTTCACTGTGAATGACAAAATTTTATTCTACAGGAATCGTTTGGTAGTTCCGAGTGGTGAAGTGAAAGAATGTTTAATGCGTGAATCTCACGAAACCACATATACCATGCATCCTAGTAGTAATAAAATGTATCATGATCTGAAGAAAACATATTGGTGGCCCACGATGAAGCGGGAAATTTCAGAATTTATGACCCGATGTCTGACGTGTCAACAAGTCAAAGCGGAACAACAAGTGCCAAGTGGAATCTTGCATCCACCAACCATTCCTGAATGGAAGTGGGAACGAATGATGATGGACTTTGTAATCGGACTTCCATTATAAGTTAAGAACAATGACGTTGTTTGGGTTATCGTTGACCAATTAACCAAATCATCTCACTTCATTCCAATTCGACGTGATACATCACTGAAAAAGTTGGCAGAATTGTACATCCATGAGATTGTAAGATTACATGGGGTGCCTTTGTCTATTATTTCTGATCGTGACCCACGATTCACGTCGCAATTATGGAAGAGTCTGCAGAAAGCTTTAGGTACTAAACTCAACTTTAGTACGATATTCCATCCTCAAACTAACGGACAATCTGAAAGAACAATTCAAATTCTGGAAGATATGATGAGAGCATGTGTAATCGATTTTGCAAACAATTGGGAACAATATTTACCGCTAATGGAGTTTGCTTATAACAACAGTTATCAAGCGAGTATCCAAATGGCCCCATACGAAGCCTTGTATGGAAGACATTGTAGAACCCCAGTATGCTGGACAGAATTAAGCGAGCAAAAGCTTGAAGGACCTGATCTCGTCCGGGAAACTAAAGAAAAGGTTCGTTTAATCAGAGAAATATTGCAAGTGGCTTCCGATCGACAAAAATCTTATGCCAACTTGAAACGGCATGAGATTGAATACAACGTTGATGACAAAGTGTTTTTGAAAGTCTCACCATGGAAGAAAGTACTACGGTTTGGTAGGAAGGGAAAACTCAGTCCAAGGTATATTGGGCCATACCGAATCACTGAACGGGTAGGTCCAGTAGCCTATCGATTAGAACTTCCACCAGAACTGAACAAGATTCATGACGTATTCCATGTATCTATGCTGAAAAAGTACCGTTCTGACCCATCACACATCTTGACTGATGGAACTGTAACGCTTGACGAAAATCTGACGTATGAAGAAGAACCTATCCAAATTTTGGCACGTCATAGTCAAGGAACTAAGAAACAAATATGTTCCTCTAGTCAAACTACTATGGAGGAATCACTCGACTGAAGAGGCAACATGGGAAACCGAAGAGTCAATGAGAACACAATATCCGAATCTCTTCAATCAATGACTCAGGTAATTTCGAGGACGAAATTATTTTAAGGGGGAGAGAAATGTAACGCCCCGAAAATAGGCCTATCAGAAATAATTAATTGATAATTAATTATTTACTAAGAAGGACCCAAAAATATGTAAATTATTAAGTTGGTCAATAAATAATAAAAATTATATCATTATGTAGATTTTAACTGTCTTATTCCAACGGTTCAACCGGATTTCAATTCGGGGAAAGTTGGACCAAAAAGTGTTCCTCGACTGGGACCAAATTAGTCCCAATTAGGGACTTGCGTCTGGAAATCCTAGCAATCGCTGCTCCCTTCACCGAGATGCCAGAACAGGGAAACGGATGTCACCAAACCTGTGTCTTCTTCCTCTCCACTCCACTATATAAACCTCTCTAAACTTCACCATTTTTCACCATTCTTCTTCCAAGAGATAGCTGAGAGTGTAGAGAGTGAAGTGGTGCTGTCAAGAGAGCTTCCCGTCGCTGGAGATAGGCTCATTCCTCGCCGGAAGTTTCTCTAGAAAAACTTCAAAACCTCCATTACGCTTTGAGGTAAGCCCGTAGATATATCTAGTGACTAGAATATTCGTATAGATCGTTTATACGTTCATAAACGGTCGTTTGGTTGAGTTTTTGTGTTTGACATGCTTGACGAACAAAGAATCATAAACCATGAATATGATGTTAAAACTATGAATTAATGATGCCAAAATGATCTATGAACCTTGGAGAACATTTCTATATAGTTTAATTGAAGTTTGGAACCTAAAAATGGAATTTCCAAAATTGGAGTGGCGAGGTAGAAGACGATGAATAGTGGCTGAAAAGCAACTGTCTGGATCGATCATCTCACCTGGATCGATCCTCAGGGAGTAATTTTCCATAGTATGGATCGATCCCCCGAATTTCTGATCCGAAAATTTGTCTGAAAATGTTATTTTTGAGCTCAAAAATCCTATTTTTGATACCAATTGATTATGATCATTATAAAAATTATTTTTCACATTAAAAGTAATATTTTTAACAAACAAGATGTTATGTGATGCATGACGGTAAGTTAGGGTGTTAACACCCGAAGCTAGCCCGCTAATTCTTATTGAATATTATGTTGATTGATGATTATGATAAGGATTATTGATTGATGATTAAATCTTAATAAATATTCTGATTAAAAATGATAATTGTGAATAATTAAATCATAACGAATATATTGATGATTGTGAAAATAATATATTGTTAAGAGTATCTAGAAGACCTCTAAGATATACCCATATTAATGTTGATTTGAAAGATATCTAGAAGACCTCTAAGATATACCTATTTAAGTTAGGCCTTGCGGGTATGAACCCTGGTGGCTAGGGTTAAAACGTACGTACGGGATCCAAGAACCAAACTTGAGTACCTACTCGTTTGGGGGTACCACCCACCCAACATTGACACTACGCTCACCAAACTTAACTACAAAGCTCACCACATATATTCAGAAAGCTCATCAAACATTTTGACAAAGCTCCCCAGATATATTGACAAAGCTCACCAACTAATATTAGACTTAGAGAAGACTTGTTTTTACATGAAAGCGCACTAAACATAACTACAAAGCTCATCAATTTTTTATACCCATGTATTGGGTTATTAACAAGAAGGCAATTTCGTGGTGGATTTGCGGAAGGAAATGGATGAGAAGTGTTCGGTGTCCATTCTTTCTTTTACTCGTCATTATGACTTTTGCAATGTTAGAATAAGTGTCCTTCCCTAGTGATCGCATTGTGAAAGGAGTTATATTATGAATGGGAAGTTGAAATATTAAGAATGTTTTTTCATGAGTGGTCTTTGGTTAACAAGGAAAACCAGCAACTATTAGTAGAAAACTCAAAAGTGTTCTTTGGTTAACAAGAATGTTTTTTCAAAACTTTAAATTACATATGCTATATTTCACAAAATCAGCTCCAACACATCAACAAAGAATAATCCCAAAATATGCCCATGTATTGTATAACCAACTAATTAAATTGATGCTAACCCATTCTAGGCGAATAATTCTTCCCAAAAGCCAAACATAGCTCAACCAAATTTACTGAAAAGAATATATTGATCACCTTATAGAAGTAATATTTTAACAGCATTGTTACCAACTTTGAAAACAACACTCTCAATTTAAAGAACTAAAATAGAAATCCAAATTAAAAGAAGCAAATTGACATGGAGTTTATAAATATTAGTCATAGAAGATAGAAGAAAGTGCTAATATGATACACATCAAGTATCACTTCCATTTTAACCAAAAAAACCCTGGCAAAAAAGTCTTAAGATTTCTAAATTTCAACTGTGAACCAAAAAATAAAACCTCTCAAAACATTCAACTCCCCATTTTTTCGCATAGTCCGCAATAAAAAAGACACTAAGACGAAACAGTAGGCATGTACAGAGCTGAAATTCCAACTTTGGCTTCTGCTACTCTTTAAGCAGTAGCTGCTAACCTCCCCATTGTTGTTTTGCTTCCAAGTTAACAGGTGATAGTCACTGTAAAAAGAAACAAACCTCAAATTAGGTGATAGTCAAGGTGATAGTCAACTTTAAGAAATAAAGACACCAACAAATCTCAAATCAACAAACCTCAAATCAACCTCCGACATGACCAAAGAAACAACATTAATAATCCAAATAATAAGCAACATAATTGTACAAAAACTCTTCTGTCAAGTCAAAATCCAGTTGGTCAGCTTATTGCTACACACACACTTTGATGATGATCATATCCATAAGTGTAACAGATGAGAACTTTCTTAGAGTAAGACACCCACAACTTTGAGCTTTTGAAATATGACATATGTTTACATGAATACCCTGATTAGTTTACTTATATATAAAGATAAATATTTGGAATCAGATTAGATTGCACATGATACCTGTCAAGGTAATCTCTCTTTCAGGATCCTAAATAATAGCGTATATGCTAAACCACGGGAGCATATTGGTTACTCTTCATCACTGCTGCTTTTGCTATAAAAGAAGGATTATTAAAATCTAAACGTAAGTTAAAATGAAACAACTAAAATGAAACATTTAAAAGTAACATGTTGTTTTTCAATGGGCAATTACGGCTGTCATGCGTAGTCATTTTGTTGCATGAACGACAACGTCGAGTGTGCTTTTGTTTTTCTTGACCCTTCTCCACACCACTCTTAATCCTCCTTTTCCTTCCCTTCGTGACTCCAATGGTAGGAGGATGGATTTCAACTCTATCAGGCACTTTGCATCCAAAATAAGTTTCCAAGTCTTTCCTTTTATCATTTCCATGTTGGCCCTATATCATTGAGTTCATGCTCAAGGGAAGTTGTACTCTCCAAAATCACTTTCAATTTCTCGCAATCTCGCCCCGCCAGAAGCATGCAGTTGTAAAACTTGCACCAGATATTAGATAAAGTTTGATTCTCTAGCTTTGTTGTGTTAAATGTTGCATCAAAATGCACCGTTCCTTCAACAATAGCTCTTTTCTTTGCATATTTTGTCCATCTATCGAAAATATAAATCTTTGGCAGCTCTCTAAGGCCTTGCCCATTCAAAACTGATAGAATATCCCTACAAGGGATTCCTTGTGACACAAAAAAATGGCAGGAGCATGTGGTAGCTTCTTCAGTCAGATCACTATAGCAGATATTGTACAACTTCCCTTTTGCACCACGATTATCTCTTACGGCTATCATTGTTTGACCTTCAACAGATTCCATCCCTTGGATACCACAGTAGCATAAGCCATTCCAAAATTCTTCTTGAAACAAGTAAAAATTTGTGTGTGTAAACCTCCCGTGCATGGCGCTCCAAGGGTAATTCTGTTCTTAGAACGGGATTTGAAGTTAATGATGCATTCTATTGTTTGTACTCATTGTCACGTTAGTGCAACTTATTTTTAGGAGGTTCATGCTTTTTTAAGTTACACGTTACTGAATAATACTGTAAATAGGTGGTTTTGGCCGTGGTAGCGTGGACCCACAAATCAATAAAGAGTTGTTTTCAAATGAAAACCCGTCTCTTGAAGATCCTCCTGGGAAAACATCACAATCACAGGTAATTGTAACACACACACACATCAAGTTTCTTTATGTTCAAAAATCCCTGCCCTGCCAGTGATTTGCTTTTTGTTCTATAATTTCATTTCCCATTTCAGTTCACTACCTAGCATCCAATCCATTTTTACACAAACACACTCTATGACTGTTCAATCAACGTCTTAGTCTCCTAAATTAACTCCTTGCTTGGATGAATGAAGTGATCATGCTCTTGCTTCTTTTTCATATTTATTTGGTTTGACTTTGAGTGGATAATTTGAAGTTGAAGCATTGTATGCAAATGACAATAATAGGCAAGCACGGACTTAGCAAAGAGAGAAGGGGAGAGGGAAATGCAAAAAAAAAACAAAGTATACGCAGCATCAACTCATCACTTTTCCCTCCTTAAAGTGCTCAATGGACCTAAAATATGCAAAAACATGACTAAGACCAAGTCTTTTAGCTTTGAAGAGATAAATATCAGATTTAAAGAATGTAGATTTTAAGCATCAAGTTTGGTTCTGAAAACCAATTCTTGTGCCTTTTTGCACTTTTCAAAACAAAATGCTGCATATGAGAAGGTTAGTTATGTCATGCACGTGCAAAGCAGCTCATATGCATCTATTAAACATCATAATTCAGCACATATGCATCGGATGAACTCAAAAATTAGATTGAACACCAAGAAAAAATTGCAGATTTTTTCTATTTCAGCACTTATAAACTGTAAAAAGTGTAAATTTTGCATTTTGCACTCAAAAAATCAGCTTACAAGTCCAAAAATAACTTTTCAAAGTGCAGAATTTTTCCTTAGTATCCAAAAATCAGCTGTAAACAATGCACATGTCTCAATTTTCAGCTTAAATATGACCATATAATAACACCCGAGAGGTTAGATTTTCAACAAAGCAACCATTAAGTACTTGAGACAGTTGGTCTAGGACAGAATTTTGCACATACTATGCAGATATTAACCATATAAGCTCAAGAAGCAAATTTGAATGGGATAGGCTATCCACTTGTGCAAAAAAGTATGACTTTATAGTGCAACTTCTCATTGTGCAAATTGTAATATCAAAAACCAAACTTTGAACACAAAAAGGTAAGGAAACTAAAGCCCAAATCTGAGATACTGATTTGGATCATATTTCACTTTTTTTCCTACCTGGACTTGCTGTTTCAAACCATATTTTGCACCATTTCTGTGCAGACTTTCACTGCAAAGGAGAATACTTCTACCTATAACTTAATAGCCCTTGCATTTTCACTCAAATAAATGGTTAGAAGCATACATGGAGCAAAAATAGACCATTAAACAAGCACCAAAAGCAGCAATATTTCTGAACTCTTGATGATGAAGTTTTTTTTTTCATTTTTATGATTTTTTTGTTTGTGTTTTTAACAAAACCAAAAGATTAATAAGCAAACAATAATACAAATTAAATAAAGAGCAAGAAAAGTATGTGGGTTGCCTCCCATAAGCCGCCCGATTTAAAGTCTTTGGCTAGACAAAACTTACTACTTGCCAACAAATATTCACTTAAGCCATGAAGTAGTAAAGTATATATGTTTCTTTAAAACATAAAAAAGAAAGTAAAAAAAACGGAAGCCAAAATTCAGAACTCAAGTGCAGATTGTAATCTTCTAATCAGTATTTAGAAACAAAGTTTTCTGCATTTTTGCACTTTGACATCAAAACTCAGCATATAAGGGTCAAATTTAGATTGCAAAGACAAGCTAAATACCCTTCAAGTCCGTTCCTATGCATATATTTAACAATTAAAGTACATAATTCAGCAAGTAGGCATCTTAAGGACTAAAAATAAATCAGATTATCAATGAAAAAGGTTGCTGATTTTTTTCAAAATACAGCACTACAGATCAGAGTTTTCTCAAAAATCAGCACATCAGGCATCAAAATCAGCATAGAAAGCTCATGATATGCTTCAAAATATTGTCCCAATACAAGATATATCAATGATAGTTCATATTTAAGCAAATCAGCACTTTTGGAGGACAAAAATAGCATGAAAACAAAGCCAAAAGTGCAATTTCTTGAAAAAAAACAGCATGTATAAATCAGACTTTTAAGCAAATGTAACATCAAATACTCAAGAATAAGACTTTTGACATCATGTTATAGCTTTAGATTCACTTCCTAAAGAAGTTTAAGCAAATAAGCACTTAAAGGAACACAAATTCAGCTTGCAAATCAACCACGAAGTGCAGCTTTTTTTGAAAAATTAGCAAGCAAAAATCAGATTTTTTTTTCAAATTTAGCACACGATGCATCAAAATCAAGTCGTATCCATCAAGGTACATGCTCTTAGTTCAATCCAAATGCTTATTTAAGTAGTGAAAGATCAAATTCGGCATTTGAGCATACACAAATGACATGTATTTAGCTATAAGGTGCAGTTATTTCAAAAGTTCAGAGCATGTAAGGATCAAAAGCTTCGGTAGAAAATGGCACTAAATGCAAAATATTATGCTTATGCACGTTTCACATATCAAAATATGGAACAAACAGCACCTATGTCATTCAAATCTAGCATGTATAAATAATAAAATTAAAAATCAGCAAGTAAAAGTGTAGAAAAGTGGCTTCAAAAGCAATTTTTATGAAAAGTTGGCCACAAATTTCACAAAAACAACATGTGAAACACAACTTTCAGCGATGAATTCATGAAGATAGGCTGATTTCAGTTTGTTCTTGTATAAATAACCTCAATTCTATAATGTTAATATGTGAAAATGTTTAGAACCGTAGAAAAAAAATACTTCAACGACATGCTTTCATACTAACAAAGAACAAAATCACATACTAAATTGATTCATACAATACTTTCCCCGGCAACGGCGCCAAAATTTGTTGAGGACTTGTCGTGCGGTCCAAAACAAATTAAAAATTTATAAAATATCCTTAGCTAACCCCCCAAGATATAATCAAATAAAAACTATAGCTAGGGCAAGTAAGGGTCGATCCCACGGAGAAAGATTGTACTTTTGAAATCATTTAAGCATGCACACACATTGTCACTAAACAAAACAAACAAAAGCAAACTAACTACTACACATATGATAAGACTTGTAAAACTTATAATAAAACTTATAACTAAATAAATATAAAAACTTATAAATATAATTTATAAATGAAGAACTATAATATAACTATAAACATAAAACACAAAGGGGGGGGTTGAATTAAAAGTAAATATTTTTTTTTTTTATATTTTCTTAATATTTTTGGTTTTTTTGATAAAATGGGGGAAAACAAGCTCATAAGATAATCAACTTCTCCAACTTAGGTAACCCAAGAAACACCACCAAGAACCCGAAACAAAATGAAAAAGAGAACAAACACGAGTTGAACATTACACGTATAATAGGCACGTAGACAATATATTACGTAACTTACGCACTTAAGAATAGGAAAAATCAATCAAAGGCCGATTCAATTCATTTCCTTAACCACGATATGGAGGATTATCAACTCTCCACACGGCCCGGAGTCATGTAATTCAAGAATTTCATAATGAGGCAAATCAAGAACCACAACTCACCAATCAAGCATGAAAACATACTTCCATTATAGAAAAAGTTTATAAAAGAGCGAATTTTTTTTCATTCTAACTCTCATGCATAATCTATTCACAAACCGCCAATACCTTATGCATTTTAATAAACCTTTTCTCCTAATGATGAGCACATTTCACAGATTTCTATGAACTTCTCAAATCAATGACGTTTTTTCTATTCACATAAATGAACACAACATATTTTCAATAAATCAAGAATTGTTTTTGAGCTTAAACAACCTCAAATTAATGAAAACAACAAAAAAAGACATGATAACATAACAATCACTCAATAACGAATTCTAAGGAAATTGAATCATCTTATGGAGCTAAGAAGTCCAAAATCCTTAAAATCAACAAACACAAATCACAACAAAGAATCACGTATGAATCCGGAGTTCATTTAACTACCTTATGGAGCTAAAATAGCTTCAACAAAAACCGAATTCCACATACCAACCTACTTATTAAATCAAATTATACAATTCAACCAATTTAACAAAAACTTGCTCAATAATTGAAGAAAAACTAGTTTGAATCAATTCTCATTCACAAGGGATTTAATATAAACATAAAAAACCCATAAAGAACGCCAACAATTTTTGGAATTTTTGAAATTAACACAAACAAGGGGAAAATGTAAAAATTAAACTAAAAAAACAACACTTAACAAAGATTTGGAGAACAAATTGGAGAAACAAGCTAGGGTTACCACTTTGTTGAAGAAGATGAAGAAATTAAGGGATTGGAGCTTGAAGAAAAAGTTTCTGCCCACCATCGTCGTCCGCCGGCGAGCAGTGGTCCGCTGCCGTCTGCTTCTTCCTCTGGTGTGCGGCTTCAATTTCAGTTGCCGCGGCCTAGAGCCGCGGCTCTCTGGGTGATATTTCCCCCCTCTTCCGATTGCAATTCCTCTCCCATTTATAGCAAGAGGATTCTTCCTGTTGGAGCGTTTGAGTGAGTGGAGAGTGCCGTTGCTATTGATTGAGGCGAAACAGACGGAGGAAAGTTGAGGAAGACAAGCGCTGGTTTATCGTGAAGGAGAAGAAGAAGTCGCCGGTTCAATTCTCTGTTCTTTTTTTTTCTTTGTGCGTAAATCTTAAGAGGACACTGACTGGACTTCTTTAGTTTTATTTGATGATGGGTTTGGGCTCTAGCCCAAAATTAATATCTTCTTTCCAAACTTGAATTGCATTTTCGGCCTTCAGCTATATTTTTCTCCAAAAAATAAAATATCTGATAATTTTGGGTTAGGGAAAATAATAAAATGAAGAAAATAATAAAATGTAAAAAAAATGATTAAAAAGCTACTATTTTTGAAAGAAAATTAAAAGATTGTAAATATTAGAATTAAAATAAAACTAATCTAAACAATTTAATATTAAACTCTAAAAGTATTAAAAATGCCAAAAAGAGAATAAAAAATGTTAACCCAAATCCGAGTTATCAAATAACCCCACACTTAAGACTTGAACGTCCTCGTTCAAGGGCCAAAAAGAATATATTATTTCTTTTTATCATCATCAAGAAAAAACAAAGTAAACTTTAAACCCTCACATTTAAGACTTTATGCTCATACAAATTTTAAAAACAAAGTGAGCTAGAAATCCTACAAGATAGAGAACTAAAAAAAATGGATATTTTGGGTTCTAGAAAAAATGCTCTAAAGTTGCCACAAAAAAGTTTCTAAGGAAATCCTATGGTTTAAAATGGCTCAATGGCAACGGTAGCAAGGTTCATCAATAAGCCTAAGAATAGAAAAAAAATTCACACCATTTTCTAAAAAGGGTTCCTAAAATTGGTTTCTCTTCTTTCTTTTTTTTCGGAATTTAGTATCAAGCAATGGTTGATTAGGCAGCATCTAGATAATATGTAGATGGCCAGTTCTAGAAAACAAAATTCTATGGGATTCTTAGAAGGATTTGAAACATTTTAAGGTCATTTTTATCAAGAAAAGAGCACAAGACGCAATGCGGGTTTATAAAGTATACACTTGCCATCTTTCAGAAATAAAGCCCTAAGAAAAAACAATGAGGTTTTTGGATCAATTTTGAAAATAATGCTTTAAATAAGTAGATATGCAAGTAATGCAACTAAGAATGAAAAAATTTGGACCCAAAACCTATTTTGAAAAAAACAATTTGCCCCAAGATATGATTTCCCAAATAATAAGATAATTGTGAGAAACTCTCCCCACACTTAAAATGTGCATAGTCCCCAATGCATCTATAATGTATGCAAATGACAATAATAGGCAAGCACGGACTTAGCAAAGAGAGAAGGGGAGAGGGAAATGCAAAAAAAAACAAAGTATACGCAGCATCAACTCATCACTTTTCCCTCCTTAAAGTGCTCAATGGACCTAAAATATGCAAAAACATGACTAAGACCAAGTCTTTTAGCTTTGAAGAGATAAATATCAAATTTAAAGAATGTAGATTTTAAGCTTCAAGTTTGGTTCTGAAAAACCAATTCTTGTGCCTTTTTGCACTTTTCAAAACAAAATGCTGCATATGAGAAGGTTAGTTATGTCATGCACGTGCAAAGCAGCTCATATGCATCTATTAAACATCATAATCCAGCACATATGCATCGGATGAACTCAAAAATTAGATTGAACACCAAGAAAAAATTGCAGATTTTTTCTATTTCAGCACTTATAAACTGTAAAAAGTGTAAATTTTGCATTTTGCACTCAAAAAATCAGCTTACAAGTCCAAAAATAACTTTTCAAAGTGCAGAATTTTTCCTTAGTATCCAAAAATCAGCTGTAAACAATGCACATGTCTCAATTTTCAGCTTAAATATGACCATATTATAACACCCAAGAGGTTAGATTTTCAAGAAAGCAACCATTAAGTACTTGAGACAGTTGGTCTATGACAGAATTTTGCACATACTATGCAGATATTAACCATATAAGCTCAAGAAGCGGATTTGAATGGGATAGGCTATTCACTTGTGATACAATTTGATAATAATTTGTCTTATTGAATATTGAGAGATATGTTCCTATATATAGGAATTACAAGAGAGAGTCCTATTCCTAGTAGGAAAGGAATAAAGTAATTATGGCAATACAAGAATAAGGAAACTAAATAATATTAGGAGTCTTCCTATTATCCCCCCGCAAGCTGATCAACGGATACGAGGGGCAGCTTGGAACACAAATAATGGAACGGAGTCGGAGTTTGCAGCTGTGAAAGATCATGCGTAACATGAGTATTAGCACCTGTATCAAGGTACCAATCACCAGTTTGGTTGCTTGTGGTTGCATGCATAGCACGAGAATTGGTAGCCGAGTTGCTCTCAGTAGAAGAATCATCATAGCGGTACCAGCAGGTAGCAGCAGAGTGGCCACGCTTTGAACAGATCTGACATACTGGAAGATCGCGTGAAGGTCCGCGGCCTCCCCCCNAGTGCAGAGTGAGAAACTCCGGAGGCGGAATCTGCAATACTCAATTTTTGCTCGATTTCAAGATTTATTTCTTCAGAGGTTAGCCACCCAGAGAGTTGATTGAGACTTATATTCTCATTGTTCATCCGTATATTTTGCTTGAAGGAGGAATATTCATGAGGGAGGCCTCGGATAACAGCATTCACCACATCTCTCTCAGGAATAACCTCGTTGAGAGCATCCAAATCGGTTAGGATAGTGGCAACTTCATCAAGGTACTCGGTGATAGTTTTTGTACCTTTTCGGAGTGTGTGAAGTTTGTCCCGTAGTTGATAGATGTGAGCGGTAGAAACAGAATTATACCGGGCAGCGAGAGCGTTCCATAGATCGGCAGATGTGGTGAAGTTGCGGACATGCTTGTGAACAGACGGACTGATGACGGCAAGGAAGCATGCACAGATCTGAGTATCAATCACAATCCATGTTTGGAATTCTGGGTTAGGGTTTTCCTTGCCATCCTTGGATAGGATTTTTGGAGGTGCAGCTTCATGACCATCGATCCAACCAAGAAGAAGGTTGGCCTCGAGAGCAGTTTTGACATTGAGAGACCATGCAGGATAATTTGAATCGGTGAGCTTCTCTGGGATAAGATTATGGAGATTGCGGAGAAGAAGCTTGACGCCAGAAGGAAGCGAAGCAAGCGGATCTGAAGATTGAGCCATGGTTGCCGTTTATGGTCGACTGGCGAGAGGAAGGAGACCGGCGGTGAAGGCACAGTCTAGAAAAAAAGGGCTAGGGTTTAAACCTAGGCTCCGATACCATGATACAATTTGATAATAATTTGTCTTATTGAATATTGAGAGATATGTTCCTATATATAGGAATTACAAGAGAGAGTCTTATTCCTAGTAGGAAAGGAATAAAGTAATTATGGTAATACAAGAATAAGGAAACTAAATAATATTAGGAGTCTTCCTATTAACTTGTGCAAAAAAGTATGACTTTATAGTGCAACTTCTCATTGTGCAAATTGTAATATAAAAAACCAAACTTTGAACACAAAAAGGTAAGGAAACTAAAGCCGAAACCTGAGATACTGATTTGGATCATATTTCACTTTTTTTCCTACCTGGACTTGCTGTTTCAAACCAGATTTTGCAACATTTCTGTGCAGACTTTCACTCCAAAGGAGAATACTTCTACCTATAACTTAATAGCCCTTGCATTTTCACTCAAATAAATGGTTAGAAGCATACATGGAGCAAAAATAGACCATTAAACAAGCACCAAAAGCAGCAGTATTTCTGAACAAAAACAGCATGTAAACAAAAATAGCATGAAAAACAAAGCCAAAAGTGCAATTTCTTGAAAAAAAAAACAGCATGTATAAATCAGACTTTTAAGCAAATGTAACATCAAATACTCAAGAATAAGACTTTTGACATGATGTTATAGCTTTAGATTCACTTCCTAAAGAAGTTTAAGCAAATAAGCACTTAAAGGAACACAAATTCAGCTTGCAAATCAACCACGAAGTGCAGCTTTTTTTGAAAAATTAGCAAGCAAAAATCAGATTTTTTTTTCAAATTTAGCACACGATGCATCAAAATCAAGTCGTATCCATCAAGGTACATGCTCTTAGTTCAATCCAAATGCTTATTTAAGTAGTGAAAGATCAAATTCGGCATTTGAGCATACACAAATGACATGTATTTAGCTATAAGGTGCAGTTATTTCAAAAGTTCAGAGCATGTAAGGATCAAAAGCTTCGGTAGAAAATGGCACTAAATGCAAAATATTATGCTTATGCACGTTTCACATATCAAAATATGGAACAAACAGCACCTATGTCATTCAAATCTAGCATGTATAAATAATAAAATAAAAAATCAGCTAGTAAAAGTGTAGAAAAGTGGCTTCAAAAGCAATTTTTATGAAAAGTTGGTGTCAAGGAACCAATTCAACCAAAAGCTCAAGCTTGTGGTTGTGGCCCAGGAACAGTTATTTATATTCTAACACGCCCCCTCACGTGCATGCGTAGTCTTTTTCGAGCCTTGCACGTGAAGCCTTAATTTTTTTTTAAAACTGGGTGGCGCTGAGTTTCGAACCCGTGACCTCTTAGTCAACGAGGCGATGAAAATTGGGTGCTTCGGGCAGTGGCAGGACCCTGGGCGTCGGCGCATCCTCATCGTCGTCAGCGAGAGGGATGTCCGCCGTGTCATCCGTAGGTACAGAGGGAGTGTGAAACGGAAAGATATCCTCAAAGAATTTGACGTCCCGACTTGTAAAAACCTTGGAATTTTCCAAGTCGAGTAGGCGCCACCCTTTTCGCCCAAACGGATAACCAAGGAAAACACATTTTCGAGACCGGCTAGCAAATTTGTCACCATGATGGTTTAGGTTATGAGCGTAGGCTAGACAAACGAATGTGCGAATGTGATTATATGAGGGAGGTTGACGAAGGAGAGCTTCATAGGGCGTTTTATGACGGAGGAGAGGAGTGGGGGTGCGATTGATCAGGTAACCAGCAGTGAGAACACAGTCCCCCCAATATTTGATGGGCAGGTTGGCTTGAAAACGTAAGGCACGCGCCACGTTAAGGATGTGGCGGTGCTTACGTTCCACTCGCCCATTTTGTTGAGGCGTTCCTACACATGATGTTTCAAAGAGAATTCCATGAGATTGAAAGAAAGAACGCATACAAGTGAATTCCGTCCCATTATCACTTCGTATGGTTTTGACGGTCGTCCCAAATTGTCGTTCGACCATAGCAAAAAAAATTCAAAGAACAGAGGGAGTCTCATCTTTGTGATTCAACAAATAAACCCATACAGCCCTAGAAAAATCATCGACTATAGTCAAGAAATATCTTGCCCCGGTTCTAGAAGCAGTTCTATAAGCACCCCATAGATCACAATGAATCAAATGAAAAGGAATTTGAGATTTGTTATAACTATCTGGAAAAGAGTCACGACATTGTTTGGAACGGAAACACACATCACACGGAGCATCGTCTACATGGTTTTTATTTAAGGAAATATGAGGAAGAAAATTGAGAACAGAATGGGAAGGATGTCCCAAACGCTTATGCCAAGTGCCCGCCACATCGTCCCTCCGTACGACACATGCTTTGTGAGGCACACCCTTCTGAAGGAAGTAGATACCTCCTAGACGCCCACCCGCTCCAATCACCATCTTCGAGGCACAATCCTGTATAAGAAAAACCTTGTGTAACACCCTAATCCGTCCAGGTCTGCAGCCCCATTCGGACAAAAGTATTTAACTTGGTATTCGTAAAATTTAAAACATTTCAAACACTTTTATTTATCACAATAATATTTTCATATCATAAACAGTACGGAGTTTTCAATATTGCGGAAGCTTAACAAATCATAATTACAAACATAATTTATTTATGTTCTTTAATTCAAAACATCACATCCATTCCGACAGTCTCGCCTCCGTCCGCCTCTAGGATCACGTCACATCATTCTTTCTATTAACCTGCGTGTAGCAAATAAAACATACTACACGCTCAGCGATAAAGCTGAGTAAGCATATCTAATGCGTCGAACATTCATATAAATTGTATCTCAATTCACAATCAAATCATTTGATATCATGCACATAATGTTCAGTTCAGATATTCAATAATCAATATTCAATTTTCAACATTCATTATTCAATCGTTCAACATGTATGTTCTTCATTTGTCATTCAACAATATCCTTAAACTATTCTTAGTCTAAGGCCAATCATTTTAATATTTGTAACCCTTAAATGAATTCTAGTTTAACTCATTAAACTATATTCCAGTATACAGAGTACTTCTAATAATCCTTAAGCTAGGCCTAGTTTAAGATAAAAGGGTTTTGGAAATCTTAAACTTACCTTCACTTAAGGCCAACCAAAAACCGACAGCGTAGTGTTCACTGTTGGGTGGGTGGTACCCCCAAACAAGTAGGTACTCAAGTTTGGTTCTTGGATCCCGTACGTACGTTTTAACCCTAGCCACCGGGCATCATACCCGCAAGGCTTAACTTATATAGGTATATCTTAGAGTTC